GAAGTGACTTTTCCTTCCAAATCAACGAGCACTTGTCTTTCTCCTCCATCCCCCAACCTTTTTAATTGCTGTTTGATCCTAATGAAGTGTGGCTGATGGTAATAAATGGAAACCCTCCCGGCCTCGAGATCCAACATCCAACGTCGTTCATTCCCTCCATTCCCATTCCTCCCCCTCCAGCCCGGAGACTGCAGACATCTGTTCCTCAATTGTCTGGTAATAAACACACTCTATAAAGCATATGTAAAATGATTATTACCCCGAGGAGCCAAGTGCCTTTCAAATGCCAGCTGAAACAAATAAACATTTGGAAAAAAAAAAAAAATTAAAAGAAAAAAAAAAGAAGACGTCGGAAAAAATCCCCACCAAACAAATGGTACGACAGACATCGCTCAGGCTGTTYGATATTCCAGAATGAAGGGATTCAGGATTGCTCCTGGGATTCCTTCTTCCAGTCCAGGAGATGKTAATCCTCAGACCAGTAAAACCAGKGCTTCCACAGCTGAGCAGGTGAAGGATGARGGAAGCAGCTGGACTCTTGTTGTAACTTTTATACTTTGGCACCTCCCATGAAATGTAATTAAGGGAAATCAGAGGTGGATCCTGCCACCAATTAAGTTTCCAGATGTAGTTAGGAAAAGTCTATTCCCAGGAATCATCTCCTCTAGAACACCCACTCGCCTCTCAAAAATGCACTCTTCATTAATTCCACGTGTGCTGGTGTCATTAATTCCTGGTAATTAATCTGGGCCTTGGTGAGTCTCAGCTGTCCTTGTGGAAATGAAGAACCCACAACATCTCCCTTCCCAACTCTGGCTGCTGCTCCAAACGAGTTTAAAGGGAAGGAAAGCCCTGAAAACCATTTTTAGGTATTTTTCCTTACATTGCCCATGGTTATAATTACGAGTTTCTCTAAACTTTGATTTTCAAGAAAGGGGCTCATTTGCAGCGCCCCAAAATCTGCTGACCCTGCGTTCTTTGACAGGATCTGGAGCCAAGCTGCCCCTCAGTTTGTAAATAGAAAAGGATTTGAAAAAGGCTCCTTGCTCCAAAGGAGTTTAAAGGGAAGGAAAGCCCTGAAAACCGTTTTTAGGCATTTTTCTTTATGCTGCCCATGGTTTAAACTAAGAATTTCTGTAAACTTTGATTATTGGGAAGGGGCTCATTTGAAATCCCCCAAAATCTGGTGACCCCACATTCTTCGAGAGAATCTGGAGCCAATCTCCCCTTCAGTTTGTAAATAATAAAAGATTTTAAAAAAGGGTCCTTGTTCCATAGGAATTTAAAGGGAAGGAAAGACCTGAAACCCATTTTTTCCTTACATTGCCCATGGTTTTAATTAATAATTTCTCTAAACTTTGATTTTCAAAAAAGGGGCTCACTTGAAATCCCCCAAAGTTTGCTGACCCCGTGTTCTTTGAGAGGATCTGGAGCCAAGCTGCCCCCCAATGTGTAAATAAAAAATTATTTCAAAAAGGCTTGTTGCTCCAAAGGAGTTTAAAGGGAAGGAAAACCCTGAAAACCATTTTTAGGTATTTTTCCACACATTGCCCATGGTTTCAAATATGAGTTTTTCTAAAACTTTGATTATTGGGAAGGGGCTCATTTGAAATCCCCCAAAGTCTACTGACCCCATGCTCTTCAAAAGGACCTGGAGCCAAGCTAACCTTCAGTTTGTAAATAAAAGAGAATGAAGAAAAGGGTCCTTGTTCCAAAGGAGTTTAGAGGGAACGAAAGCCCTGAAAACCATTTTTTCCTTACATTGCCTATGGTTTTAATTATGAGTTTCTCTAAACTTTGATTTTCAGGAAAGGGGCTCATTTGAAATCCCCCAAAATCTGCTGACCCCGTGTTCTTCAAGAGGATCTGGAGCCAAGCACCCCTCAGTTTGTAAATAAAAAAGAATTAAAAAAGGCTTTGCAAGCAGCAAATTTGTCCCCATGTTTTGCACCTCTGATGTGATCAGCACTGACACTTCTCGTAGCAGGAGCACAAAAAGAGAAATTCCCACTGCTGAATATGAATGCTCTGCTCCCGACTCTCCTCTCAACATCTCAGGGCTGAATTAGATTTTAAAATCATCACTTGATGCGCTGTTCAGGCTTTAAATCAGCACACCAGGGTCTGGTTTTGCAGTCAGCCAGTTTGTTTAATGCTTCCAGAAGCACTCAAATGCCTGATAAAATCAGCGAGCTCACAAAGCTCCTCTGGCAACACATTTATGGGACTTTGACAGGAACAAGGGGAAAAAAAATCCATTGTAAATAAAATATTGATCATTTGGATTCAAATCAGATATATTTAAAGTATGGAGGGGGTGAAAGATGAGGGAGGTAGGTCATGAAGAACGTTGGGAGTGAATGGAAAATAAAACAGGTGAAAATTTCACACTTCCAAGAGAGGTGGATATTTAAAACAGGAAAATCTGGGAAAAGGCAACAAGGATGTGAAAAAGAGATGATGATTCTGTGATTCCATGGGTTAGAAATTATTGCAAACATCGATATTTCAGCAAATTCACCACATTCAGTGTTTCAGGCCATTGCAATCCCAGCGGGAACAGAATTCCCTGCAGGGAATTATTGTCAGCTAAAGAAAYGCTGTGATCATCCCAGATCCACAGCATCCCATTCATCCCCAAGCCACGGATCATGACTTGAATCTCTCAGCAGCACAGTCAAATCCCTGAGCTCATCATTAAAATAAATAAAATCGCATTAAAAGCGTTTTTAGAGCCCTCCCCAAGCCCCAAACTCTCCCATCCTGCAGGGAGAAAAGGGCAAACGGGGTCATTCCGTGTTTTCCTTCCCTTCCTGAGGTTATTGATGGAATCCTCAATGCGAGGGAGTGAAGATGTTGGCACGAAAAACACTCTGCTCGCAGACACCTTCATCTCCAGGCAATTATTTTTYATGAGGGAAATGATTTAAAATGATTTCTCCTGCCTGTCTTGCAAAGGGAAGTGCTGGGGAGAAGCGCTGTTTAAAGCAAAGCGTTTCACTCAGGTGGCAGAAAAAGAGGAGGGGAAAATCAAGCAGAAAATCAATMAATTCTGTCAAAGAGAAGGAATTTAAATCGATGGGAAATATTTTATCAATAAAAATAGGAGCATCACGACCCTCTGGGTTTGTGAGATGTCTGTAAATTCATGAATGGCTCAGAAATTTTATATCATAATGGTCATACCTCGACCACACCTTGCATTCAACCCATCTTTCCCTAGAATAAAATAACTAAAAATTATAAATTTTCCTGTAGCAAATTTTTTTAAAGTGCATTTCTTTAGTTTAAAAGAGACAGAGGTAGAAATGAAATGTCCTAATGGAATTCTCCACTTTGTTATGTAGTGATAAATAAACCCTTTTATCAAGACAAGATCTCCAAAACCATAACACATTTCAGGATGTTCTCAAGATTATTCCAATATCTGCTCTTCTGAGATCAGAAATTTCAATCTGRAGGAATTTATGTCCTTTCCATCTGTGTTTTTAAGTCTTGAGAAGTCACAAATAACCTCAACTCCCAGGCACGGAGATGTTAGGAGGATATTCCTTCCTCTGGGGATCARATTCCAATTATTTTTTATGACTATTTTATTATTACTGCTCGGGTTTAACATTTGAGAGAAGCCACTGCTGTGAAGAGAYTCATGAGAATAAGTTCATACAAATATGGACAAGGAGGGAAAAGCTCTCCAAAAGCTGAGGAGAAAAGAAATCACTCCAAAAAAAAAAAGAGGTGGAAGGTTGGAATGAACCAAAACAATCATTCCATGATTTAATTTCCATAAAAATAATGGGACAAACTTTTAGAAAAGGAGTAAAATTCAGGTATCAGAGGTGAACGACGCAGTGAGGAGAGGTTTATTAAAGATTTGCTGTGTTTGAAGTTCCAGTTGTGATGATTTTGGTGATCACTCTGGAGCAGGAATGGCTGTTTTATCAATGAACTCACCTTGCAGCTCACCAACAGTTCTGACTTTTTAAAAAGCATAAAGAACAGCAATAAACAATTTGTAGCAAATAAATTTCATCCAGCTTGGTCAGCAAATGACAATGGACAATGAGAGGGACACCCAGACAGAAAACCCCACCTGAAATCACAGCTCCGTTTGAAAATGATCAAAAAACATCGTYAAGTTCATTTTTTACGCAMAACRACTTCACAACATCAGGGAGATGTAYCRACGTKCCCAACATSYCCAAAAATCAGAAATTTAATTCTACTTATCCCAAGTTCTTGGCAGAAAGCGAATAATTTGTAAAAGATTTGTAAAAATGTGCAGTTTTTACCTGAGCAGGGGGTGGAAGATGATGGTGATGTTCCTGGCTCCCGGTTTGCACACAAACTTGGATCCACCGCCCTCGATTAAATTATCATCCGGCCCTCCTGCAAAACACACAAAACAATTTAACAGATCCCAACATCCCCTGATTTCCAGATAGTAATTGATAATTAAACATTTAGGTGATAATTAAACAGGAATCAAAAGGTTTATTTCCTGATGAAAGATCAGTAATGAACGTGGGGAATCGCTCCCGGACCAAGGGAACAACGCAGGGGGTGATGGGAAGGATTTTGGGCTCCTCATCCCAGAGTTTGGGACATTCTGGCACAAACCCAGCTGTCCTAGGGTAGCTGAGTATATTTTATCATCTGATTATGTTAGAGGAAAGATAAACAACCCTTGTGTAACTATTTCTGGTTTGTTTTGTGATGTTCCTCCCTTCAAGGACAGTGGGAGGGAGAGTTACACACATTCCTGGAGGGGAAGAAGCTGCTGCTCTCTGGGACTGCTCCTTTTTCCCTCTTCTTTGGAACTTTTTTTCCCCTCATCTTTTTTTTTTTTTCATCATTACCTGAGAATTAAAAAGATTCCCGTGGCATGACAGGGGACAAAGATCCTCCAGTGAACCACCAGGGTTCTGTCCAACCAACTCTGTCCAACCCCTCTGGGGTCCCAGAGGGGAATCCACTCCCAGCAAGGAAGAAAAAAACTTTAGGATTCAACAGCTGGTCCCACAGGATTTTTTTTTAAATTTTATAATTTTCTTTTTTGTTCCCTCTCCTCTTTGTGGGCATATTATTTTGTTGTTGTTTCGTTAAATAAATATATTTTTTTTTTTTCTTTTCACTTTCCTCTCTGTGTTAGAGTTTGTCTCTAGGACCTGGGTGGGGAAAGGAGTGGGGTTTTCTGGAACTTGGGAGTGTTTGCCCCCATTAAATTTGTTCAAACCACAACACCAAGTCCTTCACTCTGGTGACAAACACCCAGCCCCTTGCCCACGGTGTATTTTGGGTGTATTTTGGAGCCCACAGTGCTTGGGATGAATCTGAAGAGCAGAAATTCCATGAATTTTCCTGTTTCAGATCCCAGCCGTGGACGGCAGCTCAGTTTGTGTGCTGGTGACTGAAATTTGAACTCATTTATTTTATTTATCATTTATTTATCAATTCCCAACACTGAATTTGTAATTTCTAAATGGAATTTCCCATTGCCTGAGTTCCACCTGGATACAGAAGGGGTCTCAGCTGCAGGAACAGAATTCCCTGCAGGGAATTATTGTCAGCTAAAGAAACCCTGTGATCACCCCACACTCACTGCATCCCAAGTCACGGATCATGAGTTGAATCTCTCAGCACAATCCCTGAGCCCATCATTAAAATTAATAAAATCGCATTAAAATGATTTTTCGAGCCCTCCACTGCCCCCAAACTCCCCGAGAAAAGGCCAAACTTGCTGAGTTTGGCAAAGTTTCACAGCAAAACACAATTTAGGGAATATTATTTACACACCACAGGCTAAAGGATGTGGAGTGGGAGGAAAACACCGACCACTGTCACTGTGTCACTCCAAAGTTATTTCCACAGGTACCAAATCTCCTTAAATTCAAATATTGAGAGGGAAAAGAGAGGGGAGGGGAAATATTGACATCCTGAAWGATCTGAATGTCCTGATAGTGACAAAAGGAAATGTACTTCCATTCCTGAAGGAAACATTTTTAGGACAACAGGGCAGACACAGAAAAAAAAAAATCATTATATAATCCCATTGTCGCAGGGTGCTCCAATCCCAATGTCCAGCCTGGCCTTGCACAGGGATCCAGGAATTCTCTGGGAATTCCATCCTGCCCCAAAATGAACTTGGGCAAGGTTTGTGTGTYCCAGATATCATCCAGCCCTTTCCATGGATGAAAAATCTCCTTCATGATTTATAATAATAAACAACGAAGATCATCCCATTATTAGGACAGCTTTGGAAGCAGAAAAATGACAAAGTTTAGGAATTTAAACTACCCCACCACGTTATCCAAGGTTTTTACCTTGACATCTCCTCTGCATCTGAACAAAAAGGATTTATCCAAATGGGAAAGGGGAGCRACACAACTGATGAGGAATTGACTCCAACTTTCTTTTCAAAGGGAATTTAATGGACTTTAGAACAATTGATCAAAAAAAAAA